CTGGGACAGGCATATACCAACAGAGCTCCAACAGGAAAAGCTTTTGGGATGCCAAAACAGGGCTTGAGAAATGCTGGGCACCCATCTCTCCACTCCTCAACCTTCTCAACACTTTCTTTAACTTCTCTTCTACTGACTTTGCACACTCAATTTTTCATGCAGGTTATGTGATTTTATCCACATAAATTACAGGTTCTTGGAGGGGACAGATGTTACTTTTTATTTTCTTCTTTGCTTAATACTTGCATAGAAAATGTACTTTCAAAAGCGCCTATATGAGTGGCTGTTGCTGTGGATTTGCTCTGGGAGGAGAAGCACAGTGGGGGGAAGAGTAGCGGTGTCACCACACAGACACCGGGAGTCGAGTGAAAGCAGGCTAGAGATGAGCTGCTTGCAGACTCGTTTATTACAGTTGGTGCAGCAGCTTATATAGCTGAGGCAGCCAATCCGGTCAAGGGGCAGTTTATGCCATAACCAATCACTGCCTGTTGCCAGGCAGGCTCCTTTGCCAGGTGGATTCCGCAGTCATTTCCTGAGTAACTGATGCTCGCTCACCAGTGCCATCTTGGCATGGCCTTCTCATTCCATCACAAGTGGCTGCATAGAACTTTGATTTATGTACAGTATTGGATAAATCAGTCAATCTCTATGTGCTTCTTTTTCCTCTTCTATGAAAAGGGCTAAGAATGGTGCTACCTAATAGGCTTATTGTGAGGATTAAGCCACTTAAGGAAAGTGAAGTACAGAAAAATGACCTGACATATAGTTAAGTGATGAACAAATGTTAGCTGTTATGAAGGTGATTCTTGGTCTACTTTCTCATCTTATGAGGGAAGCAGGGAAAATATGTTACAACAAAAAGTAGACTACTTAATATGTAAATTAAGATAAAACTAACCATGAGCACAACCATTTGCTGTTGTTGTATTTGAAAGTGAAAGTGTTGAATTCCACTGGCTAAATGAGGCAAGCCACGCACATGATTTTTCTCTCTCTCATTCTGGGGGCATCATTAGAGTTCCTGTAGCAAAACCATGTTGGGAAAAGAAGGCATCTTGCTGCAGCCCTCTGAGAGGTGACAGGCGTCCTGTGGCTATGTCCTCACCACACTCTGACAACATCAGACTCATGTACAGACACTCCCTCAAAGGGAAGAGTATGGTTCTAGGCCATGGCTTCAGTGGTGAGAACAATCTGTTCTGAGCCACTGGCATGGTATAATTTATTTTTTTCTAATTCAGAATTAATGTGAAATATCCATACATTTTATTGGATATAGTGCAAGATTCCAACAGACATATCCAGCATAAACCAATCATACCAGGAAATTAGCCATTCCATTTCCTTTATCCCAGACTCTAGTTACCCTATTTTTACATGAAACACTAGAATCTTGAAAATATATAATCGTTTTAAACCTCACCTGTGAAAGAAAGTATGTGGTATTTGTCTTCAACTCTTTTTCATTCCATAAATCTTCAGTAAAGCTGCTTGAAATAGTCCAGCATTTGGCAAATGAGTACCTGGTACTCATTTGAAATTTTTGCCCAACCTGAATAAATTCTAAATGCTCAGTTACTCCCTTCAGTTCCCCCTACCAGAAAACACCTCACATCATTGACCAAAAGGGCACAAAAATGAAAGAAAAGAATTTGATAGTGGCTCTGAGAGCCATTCCAGAGACAATGCTCTGATATGAGTCCCAGTTCCTTATGCAAGCATATTTCTCCTTCCTATACACAAACATAGAATGTGATGCACAGAAGGGAACTTTAAAAGTCACCATCTCTAAGCCCCAATCAAATGCCTTATGAACTCCTAGAATCCCAGTCTTCTATCCTTCTTCGTCCTCCTTAGGTATTTTGTCAAAACAAGGACATGATCTAGTAACAAGATAAGTCTTGGGGAAGGCCACTGTGACCCAGGCAGGTAGGGATATATAGATCTAATGCTATTGGTAAAGCAGATCAAATACTTGTACAAACATGTATGTTCTTTGTATGTTGTATATTAGAATAACAGAGAAAAAGCCTAAGTCATAGACAATCTAGGCTTGGCTGTCATTTGCCAGACTTGGGCATGTTGAAGAGAGAACAGGGGCAAAAGAAAAACAGAAAAACTTCAGTCTACAGCTTAGCAGACACCATTCATAAACCCAAGGACTTCTTTTCCTTCATCTCTATCCACTCATTCATCTAGTCATGATCATTTACATATCACTTACTAGATATTAACTCTCTACTTAATACTGGAGATGAAAACAGATAAATAAGATACTATCTAGGAACCCAAAGAGGTTGTGAATTTAAACATTGGCGCCAAAAAGGCAATATCAGAACAGTATGATATTTCCTTAAACTGAGAAACAAGGAAAGTCTTATAAGAGCTTAGGTGATGTGAAAACTTCAACAGAGGAAAAGAAGGCTTTTCATAGGGGATGCAAATCTAAAAGCAAGCCCTTCTCTTCCCCTAAGCTGATGCCGCTTGGGCTCCTCTATCACACTTTTCATATCCACCCAATTGTTGTAGAGCAAAGAAAAAAGTCTGGAAGGAGGTTATTACCATCACCCCAGGGAACCCTGAAATCCAAAGCACAGTCTGGGGACCAGCACCAGTCAGTGCCTGAGCTATTAGAAACAAAGAAACTCAGGTGCCACTGAAGACCTTCCCAAGAGTCTGCATTTTAATGAGACTCCTAGGTAATCTGTGTGTTAACATTTAAGAAGACTTGTCCTTGAAGATGAGGAGTGCCTTGTTTCTAAACAAAAGCCTTCTGTAGAGTGTTTTGCTTGGGGGGTGGGGGGGGGGGGGAGGCCATTGCCCAGTTCTGGAAAGGACTTGACAATCATGTCATTGAACCTCTTGTTTTGTAATGAAGAATCCCAGGTTCAGGGAGGTACCCAACAGGGACTGGGAGGAAGGGCTTGCGGAAGAAAGAGTGTGAAACTCTGTTGTCAGCCACAGTTGGTTCTCCAGAAAGGCAGGGCCATTTATTAACTTGAAGACCAAAATCCAACTTCACAGGCATGTCAGAAAGGTTGACAAGAATGCATGTACTGGGGCTGAAATACAGTAACTATCCAAAAAAGCAACAATTGAAAAAACTAGAGACAGCACTGGGTTAGACTGAAATAAGATCTGTGAATTTCTCAGGGAAGTACTTTCCCATTGCCCCACAACATTCGCCTTTCCACCACCCTCATCTGGCCAAAGGTGGTCCCCTGCTCAGCCCTAGCATTGTCTCTTATCTTTGAAGTTGAGCCTTAAATATGAACTACCTTACAAAACAATTAATTTAGAAGTGTTTCTGGGGTTTGCTGTTCCAATAATTTCTAGTTCTTTCTGACAAAAAAATCCAGATTAGCAAATTCTTAATGCATAAACTTAAGTAGGAAGATATGTCTTAGGCTGACAGTAGCATGAGTGGTGATCAGATCTATTGCTAACTGTTAGTGAACTTGGAGATAGCTCTGAGAGGACATGGCCCAAGTTGCATTGAAACCCTCCATGTTATCTCCTCCTTTCTCCCATGCCTTATTCTCCACCTGTGAGACTCTTCCACTTAACTCCTTTAAGTGTTCATATAAATGTCTTCTTCTTCCAAGTCTACCACCTCATTTCCCCTTCTTATTCCTTTACCTCCCAGAACTCCCTTCATTTGCAAAACAGAAAGCAAAAAGAAAAAATGGCCAATGACTCACAAAAAATAGAAATACACACACCCACACACCACCCTCAACCATGTTCAACTGTGAAAACTGTGAAGATTTAAATTTACCAAATGAATCATGAAGATGCTACCCTAGAGTAAGAGGAGATTTTTCTCACATGAAATCTCTTTCCACTCATGGGGGCTTGTTGACCATGCCCCAGATGTCACCAGCTCCCTTTACAGGACAGCTACTGCTCACATCACTCACCCTTTTCCCTTACCCAAGCTTTCTCTCTTGTCTGCCCTCCAGGGTTTTCCCTTGATCCGAAACCTTTCTAGAACTCTTCAGCTAAATCTCAGGCCAGCAGATAGTGCCTCTGCCTCAGCCAATTTGAATGCATGTGCCTGTGAGATTTCCTGAGACACTCTGAGCTGCTGCATTAAAACTTCATGAGAGCCTTCCTCCGGAGGCCTAATAATAGCACGTTTCATCTCTGAGCCACTTTATAAACATTCACTGATTAAGCTGCCCTTCATCCCGTAAGTTCTGGGTTTCTGTGCAGTGGACTTCATTCTCCACTGCCTTCAAATTACTCCAGGAGGAAAAATGCTAATACCTGCAGGATCTTTTCTGGATATTTTAGGACAAGACATCATTAATGCCAAAGGCCTTGCAATAACAACCTCCACTTGGGTAATGGCTTGGAGGGATAGAGGATTTAACTCTGCATTTCTATTCAGAGACTGAAATGGCATTTTCATCTCCATAAGCCACATTAGCTGAAAGAACTTGACTCCATGGCCTATGGCAGGGTCATTGAACTACTATCCAGGGCCAAATCCAGCATACCATTTGTTTCCATAAGTGAAATTTTATTGGAACACAGGTTCATTCATTGTGAGTTATATATGGTTACTTCTGCCTTAAAACATCAGTTGAGTAGTTGTGACACACATCAACTAACCCACAACGCCAAAAAATATTGACTATTTGACCCAGTACTGAAAATATGTTGACCACTGCTCCAAGGAACTTAAAATTTGTTCTCATCCTGCATATTCTCTAAATATCTTTAAACAACACTCCCTCTCTGGGCCTCCGTTTCTCCATCTGTAGACTGAATGATCTCTAAATTGAGCCATTCCTTTGGGTTTGTTCACCCAGTGTTCAGTAAGTACTAGCTTCTAGTGTGGTAGTTTTAACTCAGTCCCATTGCTGGCTTCTCTGAAGCCAGGAAAGGAGCTTTGAGTTCTCACGAATCTTCCTAGGCATCAGGCTCTGTACTGAGCCCTAGAAACACCTGTGGAGTATAACTGAACTAACTGAGTTGTATTTCTTTCTTTTCAGAGAGATCTCTCAGAATGATGTCTTAGAAGTGATAGAGGCAGATGTGTTCTCCAACCTACCCAAGTTACATGAAATGTAAGCAAGAAACCCAGAGGTGGGAGACAGTTGCTTGTGACTATTTTTGGCAACAACCTTAAAATTCTCTTCTGTTCCTTGGAGGCCTTGGCTCTGCTCTGTACCCAGATCCCTAGAATGCCAAAACAGGATGTTAAAGTCAGCATAAAAGGCACTGTCATGTGTCTCTGCCTGGTGAATCTGGCATTAGCCCAGAGCCCAGTCTCATCCTGCTCTCTGTATTCCTTTGTTCTCTGCATCACAGGCCCAAAGACCTTGGCCCACGGCTGTGAGCACTTGTACCTCCAGCCCATCCTCACGTTCAAAGTTATTCCACACAAAGAAAGTGAATTCTATCTGAGGTAACTGAAGGTGTGGAATCCTGTTCTAAATAAGAAACAGAACCATCAGAGCCTAAGTTTTCTTGTCTACAAAACTGTAATAATAGATTGGGTGCATCATAGGATTACTGTGATGAAGACAGGAGATTATAAATGCAAATTAAATCCAGCCTATCAATGGGTTTAAAGTACATGTGGCCATCCTTGGTTCCTCTACTACTCCAACCAAATGTACTTACCTTTGTTGACAATGTAACTTTTTCCTATTTTTGTAATATATCAATATAGAGAAGAGATTTCATGAATTTCAAAATGACTACAAAAATATCATGATACTTTTCTCCATCCTTCTCTCCTCTTTCCTTTCTTTCTTCTTTCTCTTATTTTTTGGTGATAACATAGCAGTTTAACACGCATTTCAAAATCTCATACAGACCTGTTTTATGCCAGTGCATAATCAGCAGTTATTAGCTCACGGAATCATGGAAGTGTTAAGTCCACTAAAGACTTTGGAGGCTGTCTGACTGAAGTTTCTAAAGGATATTTTGTGACCACTAAGAATTTAGGAAATCATTAGGTGTTTAAAAAAAGAAAAAGAATCTATGTTCAGACAAGATTAGGGAACATTTCAGCAAATAAAGTTAGACAGGATTCTGTACTATGGGAAAACTTCTTAGAGCCTGTAACCTGCTGGTCTCATACATTTGGAATTCAAGCCAGGTTTGTATTGGTTCTCAACTAAAGTCACTGGAAAGGTTTCTTCCATAGAGCACTGGTGAGCATATCAGATTCCTGTGGACACAATTAGGAAGGCCCATGAACCATCCTCCTAATTTTAAAATTAGGAATGAAAGATACAACAGAGAAGTCAAAAGGCTTAACCAAAATCACCCAGACAAATCTACAGCAGGATAAGGACATCACCATAAATCCCTTGACCCTTTTGTATATTTTTTAAAAAGTAAGGATTTTTTTTTTTTATCATTTGCCAAGTATCAGTAGGGGCCAAGCACAATACATCTATATTGGGGAATTTGTTTAGGAAGGAGAGTCTCCTCCATGGCAGCACACTCCCCCTCCCTTGTCCTTCCTTTCACCCACTCTGCCTCCCACCCTCATTGCTCCTTGTCGTCATGCCTCCCCCCCATTAGCCTCATGCTCCTTCCTTTTTTCTCCCTCTGCTACATCTCTTCTAATCCTAGTTGGGAAGACAGCCCTGACCAAAGTCTCAGAACCCATAGAGAATATCAGGGAAATGAAACACAGGGCAGCCAGCTTTCTGGGTAGAGTCAGGCAGGCATCCGTTGATGCAGCTCAGTTGGTAGGAGAGCTAACAGGACAGCTCTCTCACCTCTTCCTGGAAGGGAGAGTTGGTCACCCCCATGCCACACTGACTACACTTAAGATGATTAATTACCTCGTACCTGGATCTGGGGAGCTGCAGGTTACTGAAACAAAAAGCTAGCAAGACAGGGAGGAAGTAATTCACAAAGGATCTCTGCAAATATGCGCTGATCCAAGGAGCCAAGGAAAGGACAACGCTTCGCTGGAATCCAAAGCTGATGTGCTCAACTCCAGACTCTTGATCAGCACGTAGTGCAGGTCAACCTGGGGCAGAAGTCACCAGGGGAACTCACCCATGAGCGGTGGGTCCACAGGATGAAGGGAATTCCTAGCCTATCCCCAGTTGCTCTCTGCAGGGGACTTCATGGTTGAAAACAAAGAGATATTGGTTGTTTTTCAGAATTCCTATCTTTATTTTCCTTTGTCCCTCACTCTTTGCTTCTCTGATCTCCTTTTGTACACTCACCCTTTTTTTCCTTCCTTCTCATCTTCTTTCCACACTCTTGTGCTGTTGTTCTCTACCCCCTTATCTCCAAACCAGACACAAACTCAATTCCCCAGATTGGTCTCCCACCTCCTTTGCCTCCTCAGACCCTGGGAGATCCTTACTGGTTAAACACCCATCTCTCACCCAGCCAATGCTTTGTTTGCCACTAAAGTACAGGCCCCGCGTGATAAGAGTTAAATAGGGCAGAGTTAACATATAGTTTGCACCATTTAGTATAATAAGTCACCGCATGCTTGCTCAATATTTGTTGAAATGATAGGTGGACGTATAGACAAGTGGATGGGTAACTGGACGGATGATTTATTGATGTGGTCTGCATAATGTAAAAATTCTCCAGCATTCCTTGCTGTTTAGATCATTTGTATATGCATTCTTCTTTTACAGTAGAATTGAAAAGGCCAACAACCTGCTGTACATCAACCCTGAGGCCTTCCGGAACCTTCCCAACCTCCGATATCTGTAAGAACTCGCATATTCTGGTGCCACATCTAATATCAAATTCTACTTTTCCATTGTAGTGAAATACCCAGTTTTATTCTGAGGAGTGATTACTTTTTATCAAGGAAGTCGGGGGTGGCTGAAGTGGAGTTAGGAGACTCTAGTGGAAGATTCTAGTTTAATGAGCAAATTTCCCTAACATAATTGCATTTTGTTTTCATTTACAAAAACAGGCATAATGGGTGCCATTTGCATTAATGGGACTGTCATGCGGACCTCTTAGAAAACTCAGTCATAATTTAGGGTTAATGAGATGACACCAAAATTTCAGCTAGCATTAACTGTGACCTTGACCTCAAAGACACTGTCTCTCTTGTTATGCATATATGCATTATTTCTTTGATACACTGCAGTGTTTTATTTTGTAAATTTGGGTTAATAATAGACATGGTGTTTTACCAGCACAGAGATTCCTGGTGCTTTGAGCTCCATCCTTTGGGCTTGCCCCCAACCACTTCTCCACTCAAATGGCTTTCAGATTTGCTAAGGGCTTACGGAGTGACACAAAGTAGTAGACAGAATTTTGATTGTGAGGTTAAAAGTGTCTGGGTCCATTTACCAGTGACCAATCACAGGCATTAGCCTCTCATAACTTGTCTCCTCACCAAGAGAATGGAAATAACAGTAATACATGCGTGTACATTGTCTTTTAGCACACCAACAATACAGAGCCAGCCTTCCAAACAGAAAGTCTTAAAACAACCATTTCTCACTTTTCACCTGTTTGCGAGTTGATCAGCAGAATGGTTCTGCAGATCTGGACTAAGATTGCCTCAGCTAAACTCAACCATACACCTGTCGTTAGTTGGCAGGTCAGCTCAGGGCTGGTGGCTCTGAATGATCTCAGATGGGATGACTCAGCCATCCTCCACGTGGTGCCCATTTCCAGCAGGTGAGCATAGGCTGGTTGTCATGGCAATCCCAAGGTTCCAGGGAGACAGCTGAAGATCACAAGTATCTTACAGCTTAAACCATGCACCAGCATACCACCTTCTCTGATTCTCTTTACTAGCTAGGGCAGTTCACAGAACCAGCCCAGTTTCAAGAGACATAGTTTTTTTCATAACGAACATTTCAATTAATTATTTTGATTGATTTGAAAGTCTGAGAAAGCAAGAGACACGGAACCAAACAGAGATCTTCCATTCACTGATTTACTCCCCCAGTGACAACCACAGCCAGGGTTCAGCCGGATTGAAGCCAGGAGCCCAGAATTCAAACCAGGTCTCTCACATGGGTGGTAGGGACCTACCCCAGCACTAGAGCCATCACCCCCTGCCTCCCAGGGTGTATATCAGCAGGAGACTGAAATCAGAAGCAGGGCTGGGACTCAATCCCTGGCCCCTCAAAATGGGATGTGGACATCCCAAGTGGCATCTTAACCACTGTGCCAAACACCCACACCAATAACACAATTTTTCACAAGGCAGTATGCATAGTTTTCCAAAAGACTTTTCACAAGGATAAACTGATCTTTAATTTCAATTTCCATGAACTTTTTGAAGTCCCCTCATAGATGTCATTCCTTGATGGGCGAAACTGCGAAGTTATAATAGTGATGACAGTGTGGATACAGGAAAGTATATCAAAGCCACTTTTGCAATCAATTAATTTTAAAAGTTTTTGTACAGCACCTGCATCGCATATGTTCAATAACTATTAGCTATTATGATTCTATCCCTAGATTTTGGCTCATAAGAATTAGAGTTAGCAGGTCCAATAAGGAACACTGCACCACTGCATGCTTCAGTAATCTGAGTGGGGATTGAGAGAGTAAGAGACTTAACAGAAAAGAATCCATAGGACCTAGAGGTTCTTCTTTCTGATAGGCATCCCAGAAAATGTCTGAAAAAGATACAAGGACATCTTGTCCCTGAGCTGTGTCAGAGGCAGAGGCTGGGTTCAGGGTCACAAAAGCCATGTAGTTACACAAGATTCAATCCTTACAAACCCCCCCCCCCCCACACACACACACACTAGCTTAATTTCCTGCTGTCACCACCTTGAAATCCTTTAACATTTGTAAACAAGAGGCTCTGTAATTTCATTTTACACTGCATCCTGCAAATTACATGGTCAGCCCTTGTCAGGTGCTCATGTTAAGATCTCTGCTAGTTTCAAGTGTGGGTAGCTTGACTCCCTAAGATGACTTTGTTCCTTAGGAGCAGAGACTTTGCCATGCTCTCTGCAGAGGCTAACCCAACTAGGCAGGTGAGAGCAGATGAAATATGTGGTAACAGAAGAGCACGGACCTTAGAGTCAGAAAACCCCAAGGGCTTCTTGCTGACTCCACCATTTACTAATGGAGAACGCCTGGGCCAAGCACTGGACTCCTGCCATGCTCATGGCTTATACCAGCCTCCAGTGAGACATACATGAAAACATCTTACATACTACAAACTGCTCAGAAACAGTACTGCATATATGACTATTAGTAGAATGATTATTCTGGTCCACCAAAGTGTGCTGGTCTACTCTCCACAAGATTCCAACAACTGCTGACTGGAGACAAGCTCACCACCAAGACCTCCAGCTGTTACCTAGAGTGTTTGACATGGATTCAAAACCAGGAGGTGAGAGGTGCTTTTGCATTTAAGGGAGAAATATAGAAAAGAAAGGGAAAAATACAATACGTGACAGGGCCAGCATTATGGTATAGCAGATAAAGCCATCACCTGCAATGCTGGCATCCCGTACGGGCACTGGTAGGGTCCTGCCTGCTCCACTTCCAATCCTGCTCCATGCTAGTGACCTAGGAAAAGCAGCAGAAGATGGCCACAGTGTTTGGGCCCTGCCACCTATGTGGGAGACCTGGATGAAGCTCCTGGCTCCTGGCTTTGACCTGGCTCAGCCCTGGCCATTATGGCCATCTACGGAGTGAACCAGCGGATGGAAGATTTCTATCTCTGTGTTTCTCCCACTCTCTCTGTAACTCTGACTTCCAAATAAATAAATCACTCTTTTTTTTAAAGGCTATATATAAAATCAGAAGGACTGCAATCCAGATGGCACACTGGCTTTTTTTAGCTAGATAGTCAAGTATCATCTCTAATCCTCGGTTTCCATATCTGTAAATTGGGTGGCTATGAAAACCAAGTAAGATTATGCTATAAAAAAACTTTTAAATTATTTTAGTATAAAATTATAAACTATACAAATACAATATCATTAGTACCTGTTGACCAATTGCTTTGTTTTTCATCCTTCCTTTCTTCCTCTTTTCCTCACAACTGTGAGGAATGAGGGGTCAGAACAAACTTTTAAACCCACACCCTTGGCCAGCACCACTCATTCTTCCTAATGGGGTCCCTTGGAGCTGGCACTGTGGCGTATGGGGTGAAGCTACTGCCTCAGTGATACCAGCATCCCATACAAGCTCCCGTATGAGTCCTACCTGCTTCACTTCTAATCCAAGCTCCTTGCTAATGACCCTGGGAAAGCAGCAGCAGAGGACCTAAGTACTTGGGCCCTGCCACCCATGTCGGAGACCTGGAAAGACTGGATGGAGTCCCTGGCTACTGGCTCCTGCCTGGCCTGGCCCCAGTTGCTATGGGTATTTGAGGAGTAAACCAACAGATGATTTCCCCCCCCACACTCCAAATTCATAGTGGGTCTTCAAATATGAAAGATTATATCAGGGAAACAAAACCCAGTTAAGCATCCATATTGTATTAGTTAGCTTGAGCTGCCATAACAAAATACCATAGATTGGATGATATTATTTCTGAAAGTTGTAGAGACTGGGAAATCCAAAATCAAGGTATTGGTCAATTTGGCCCCTGGTGAGGGCTCTCCTCCCAGCTTATAGACAACTGTCTTCTCCCCATGTTCTCAGATGGCCTCAAGAGTGAACCTCTGGTTCCTCTTTTTTATAAGGACCTGAACCCTATCAAATTACAGTCCCACCCTCATGACTACATTTAAACTTAATTACTTTCTAAAGGTCCTATCTCTAAATAATGGTCGCAATGAGGAGAAGAGTTTCAACATATGAAATTTAGGGAGGACACAGTTCAATCCAAGGCAAATGTCAGAGCACCAGTCATAGTAGCATCCTGATCCAGCCCCCAGGTAGATGGCAGCAAATGCAGATGGTCTTTGGGAGGATGTACCATTTGCTTCAAAGCAAAGAAAAGCACAAAATAGATGAAGGAACCCATTGGGGCCAATACTATTGAGTTGTTTTGTTGATGTTGTTTTAAACAAGAATAAATGTTTATCACCACAGCTAACAAAGCAGGAGATTACAAGGAGCAGGAGAGAGTTGCTATTTGACTTGAGCAATCTAATTGCTATGCACACATACTTAGAAATGTTCCAAAGCCCTCGCTGTTAATTTTCTTTCATGCTGCTCATTTGATGGCACAGAATTCAAGAGAACCAGAAATCAGCCCTTTTCATCAAGACCTTCTTGCTTCACTGAGGAATCTGACGTGGTTAAAACTTATGAATAAAGAACTGTTCATTAACTAGAATATGCAGCCAAGGATTCATCTAAGTGGATTGTTTTGAAAATCAATATTGTAAATACTGGCAGTATTTCTTTCCTTACTGCTCAGCCTTCCTGGAGCTGACCTTTTGGTTATGAAAGATTATCTATTGATCTGTAAATAAGGTTTACACAATATTCTGTTGCCTCCGTATCTTGTCCAGTTCTCAGGCAGATGGGTGCTGTTCTTTGCTACACCGTATACCATAATCCCAGTTGAACTTTCACATAGCTAGGGAGGTCCCTCCCAACCTCCCACTGACAACCTCTTCCACTGCGATGTGGTCCCTTCAGGCCTCCTCACACATCCTGTTCATGGCCACCTCGCCATCTGCTTCTCCAGCTTGGGACACCCCTCAGTGATCCAGGCTATTTCTTCCACAATCCTTTTAAGTCCCTCTGTGTCTTTTCTATGTTCCTCTCTTTCAATGGGTTTGGCAGGAGTAAAGGAAGTTTTCTGATGACAAAAGCT